AGACACAGCAACACAACTAAAAGTGCACTCACACTATGCTATCCGAACCGTGCCCAGGCCCGTCTCCCGAATCGTTTGATAAGTGTGAGTGCTCTGAATCGGGTTCATGAACGGTTGGAAGAGGTTTAGATGATTTTAGATTAGATTCAACTTTATTGTCATTACACATGTACAAGTACAATGCAACGAAATGCAGTAAAGGTGCGCGGTTCACTTGGGCTTTGGCACAAGCGGTACGCTTGTAGTGTCAGTGCAAAGCACGCCTGAGCCAGAAACTGAAGATGAGATGTAATGACCACCACCCTCCCCATCTTTAAGTCACCTCTAGAGGGCAACAGCCTATAAGTTGCCAAGTAATTTTGGGCTTAGTAGCTTTCCATCCAGATTCTCATAAGCTGCGTCAGAAACCGCCTACTACTCAGTAGGTACTGCATTTGAATTTAAACGTACTACTCGGCCGTTAGAAAAGTACGTTCTATAAAGTATGAATGTGAAAAGTATGAATGGAATTCGGACTTACTACATCCGCCATTTTGTCATGGTCATGTGACCTACCTGCGTCAGTTGCGCCGCCTCACTTCCATTCATGAATTCTCTCACGGGGCATTATGGGATAGCGCAGCGTGCATGGGATGCGCACTTCAGAATCTCGACGGAAGTAGTAAGTCATCCGGGTACTTCTCGCCTACTGATTTTCGAATTCTATGAATTCGCACATACTACTCGGCTCGTATACTGATTTTAGCGTACTATATAGTATGGAAGTATGCGGTTTCGGACGCAGCAACCGTCAGCGTTGGCCGTTGTGTAACAGCTTGTCTTGCGTTACCTTGTGCTAAAACACAACTATGAACAGCAGACTCCAGTTATAGGAATGACAACAGTTATTTAGTTTCCCCGTTTTTTGGCAAAGTAGAATGAGATATGTTTGTTTTGTGTTTATTTGTGTGTTGGTACTTTGATGTTGCTTATTGAACTATGCTTTGCGTTTGCATTGTGAACGTGTGTATATTACGCTTTACGTTCTTGTGATTGTTTACACTGTATTTTTTCGGTTTGTGTAGTTTAACAGTGAAATATGATCATTAAACAAGTGAAGCATTGCAGTGTTTCTTACAGTTTCAAAGGGTTTATGGCTTATGGTCAAATAAATCACAGTGCAAGCATCAGTGAAAACTCTCTGCCTCCTTTGATGCCATGGGGTCGCTACAGTAAAACTCGCCGTCATTGGAGCCTTTCATCGCATCGCACCGCGCTGCTGTTTCATCGCGTGTGTGATGCTGCATCAGAGGATTTCATCGTGTCGCTGTATCGGAGGCTTTCGTCACATTGCGCTGCTGTTTGACGCTGCATCGGAGGCCTTCATCGCATTTCGCTGGCTCTGCTGTTTTATGTGACATTAAAGGGACTGTTTGTTTCATATGTATTTATTAATCATTCTTACTGTTCAATGAATGCAAACTGTCGTAGATTATTAAAGACGCAAACCCCTCACTCCACGACAGCTGCACCTTCAGAAAACCTCCTAATTCCTGCAGCACGAGGACTTTATGATTGTTTATGAGCGTCAAAAGTGCCTGATCTGTTCTGCGAAATATTCGACAGTGTCACTGCCTATCAAATGACTAAGCATAACTAAAGAAATCTTCAAAGTGCTGAGCAAAAGCCCTTCTTACTGAACAGCGCATCATCAATGATGTAAGCATGCTCAGGAGCGAATGCAATGTGACTGCGGGCCTTTGTGGGAGACAGGAGGGGGGACAAGCATGCTTCGGCCTGGTTCAAGGCAACTGTACAAAGTGTAAGTACACCCTAAATAATCACATTTGCAATAAATCCAAGAAATCAGATTATTTATGTATCATTAGTTTGATGCTTAAACACCAGAACAGAACGGAGGCACAATTTTGGCACCTGCTTTCCACAGCACAATCACTCGACAGGTTGTCTGGCACAAATTTTATATAATTTTCAGCATCATCAAACTGAACTACGCAGATGTTTACTATATGATCTCAGCTCACGAACAATAAAGCTTGTACTACTCAGCCTACATCGAATCCAGTCAGAATGAGATGACGCTGGATGTGGTAAACCCCAACTGGCTTCCTTTCAGGCCTTAATGTTTAGTCTGTTGTCCTTGTGGTAAAAATAGTTTAACACACATTCAGATTTAAGCGCAAACAGGTCTGAATAGAGCTTTTCTAGCACAATACATTCCACATCATCAGAGTATAAGCAAAAAAAAAAAGCACCAATCCAGCTGCAAAACAAGTTTACATTCTGGATAAGACTACAAAACTCATGCCGTCTACAATGATTACATGAATAGCGCACAATTGGTTATAAAATCCACAGGTCTACACCCTTTCCTCGGAAAACATGTAATAAACAATCGCTCTTTCAGCATTTCAAATGCATGATTTCTATCTTTTGCTTAGCTAAGGAAGTGAGGTAAGTATGAAACCCTCTTTCTGAAAATCCCATGTGGTTAATCATTTTCACATCTTCTCAGGGTACAACAGAAAGTGGTGTCTATTTGAAAACTACTGCGGTTTTCATAGGTCGGTAGTGGAGATTACTCATCTAAGTACCACTGTGGAATTATATTTTGAGCAGCCAATGGAGTTTTATTAAGCTATTTAAAAAAAAAAACAATGAGCTAAATGCGCCATTATAACTCTTTAATTTCTTGCTAACTGCACTATTGCAAGGAAACTGCATCAAGGGATAAAGATCTTTAACACTTATAGGTGTTACTCGGCTGCATCTTCCAAAATACTTCCTCTTCAAAACCAGATCTTCTACTTTGAATCAAAAATACATTGCACAATGTGGCGTATACGGATTTAAAGTGGACATAGCTGACTTTATTCTTTATTGGACTGACCTTAAAAAATATACAGCCTGTCAGCAGGGATGTGCTCCTTTTTTTAAACCCGCCGACTGTAAAAACACACACATGCAGGACTGTACTGCATAGAGTGGATTGGAAATAAACATAGCTATATAAATATAGAAATATAGAGCTTCTTTGATGACATATTAAATGACTTTATTTAAGTACTGCCCCAAAAATACTACTTAATAGTCATTTTATTTTTCACAATGCTTTAAACTACTAGATTTTATTCATAAGTCAACAAGACTTATTCTTTTATATCTTTTAATAAATGTGGGTTGATTTTTATGTAAATATCTGTTATGCTAAAATGACTGAATGAATTTTATGATATATTATTTTTCACAAAAAGTTATTTGAAACACTAAAGCAGACACTTTCATTTAATATGCTTCATATCTACAGTTAAAATCAGAATTATTAAACTTATTACTTATTATTATTAAACGAAATATTTTTTTTTCTTTTCTAAATATTTTCCAAATGATGTTTAACAGAGCAAGGAAATTTTCACAGTATGTCTGGTTATATTTTTTTCTTCTGGAGAAAGTCTCATTTGTTTTATTTCAGCTAGAATAAAAGCAGTTTTTAATTTTTTAAAAACCATTTAAAGGTTACAATTATTAGCGCCTTTAAGCTATATTTTTTTCGATAGCCAACAAAACAAACCATCATTATATAACAACTTGCCTAATTACCCTAACCTGCCTAGTTAACATAATTAACTCAGTTAAGCCTTTAAATGTCACTTTAAGCTGTATAGAAGTGTCTTAAAATATCTAGTAAAATATTATTTACTGTCATCATGGCAAAGATAATATAAAACACGTATTAGAAATGAGTTATTAAAACTATTATGTTTAGAAATGTGTTGAAAAAAAATCTTCTCTCCATTAAACAGATAAAAACACACATGGGGTTAATAATTCTGACTTCAACTGTATATAAAATCACTAAAATGCTAAAGTGATTGCGTGGCAGTTTATCACTGGCTGAAAAGACAGTTCTCAACATTAGTTCAATTATTTATACGCCTTACATGTCCACTGCTTGAAAAACAACTCCATGACACTCATCCACATGCTGTTAGGGGCAAGGGAAACCCTTAGCACAGGGCAGCACGTGCTCACTGCTTATTTGGAAAGAAACTGTTATGTGAACATCTAACGCAGGACATGCTCTGCTGATCTTTAACACCAAACAACATATTTGACTTATGGCTTTCTGTCAATGGCATCACACGCATGCAAAACCAAAGAATGAGCGTCAATAGTGCATTCTGATACTTGCTTTGACTTTCTTTAATCTCTTTGGATAAAAATAAATCTTGGTCACACTTTATTTTAAGCTACAATTCTTGCTATTAATAAAACATTAACAGCTCAGTAAACTCCTATAATAGTTATTAAGCTAGTAACTAACTGGGTATTAGGTAGGATTGAGGATCTAGAATAAAAATATGCAGAATATGTAGTTTATAAGTACTAATAAACAGCCAATGTATTAACAATAATAAGGAGATAATAAACCACTACACTGTAAAACCCAACAGTCTACTTTATCAACTGAAATGAGTGTAGTTCACTCAAAATTGATTGAAAGTTAATTCTACTAATTTGAAAAGAGTTTTGAACTCAGTGTTGAAGGTAATGAGTTCATTAAATACCTTATTACTTCAACTTAAATGGAGTAAGTTCACAGTACTCGTATAGATTAGTTTTTAACTCAAATGCTTTGTTGCAATCGGTTTCCTCAAACGGTTTGAGTTGCCTTAACTTAGAGTTTTACAGTACTCAGATGGTTTGAGTTCTCTTCATTTACTAGGAGGTTCCTGTGCTCAAATTACTTTGTTTACTCAAATGGATTAAGTTCACAGTACTTATTAGGATTAGTTTTTGAACTTAAATGGTTTGTTGCAATCGGTTTCTTCAAACAGTTTGTGTTACCTTACCTTTTTGGGTCTTACAGTGTACTTAAGAGTAAGAATTGGTATTTAAATTAACGTGTAATTATCTTTTTAATTCTTTGCTATTCTTAAAATGATCAATTTACCCTTAAATATGACACCAAACTCCAGGAAATTTTGAGTTTTACTTACCTGAACAATGTCCAGTACCATGCCAGCAGCAACCGTCCCAAACCCTGCCAGCAGGAAAGGGATCAAAACCTGGAGTCCAATAGAGAAGGACGTTTCCTTAAGTGGAGCCGGCGGCACCGGGCTTTGGTCCGTACTAGTGTCATCACTTTCATTGCTTTGGCTAGCGTTCTCCAAAAGCGCGTCCTCTTCCCTCTGGCCTTTCGCGTTGGCCCGACAGTCGAGGACCACCATGTCCGGACGCTCATTCTCCTGATCACCGCAGTCCGGTAAGGAGGTCACCTCTGTGAGTTCGTACTCCCCGGGGGTCTGGGGTACCTCCTCTGGGCTGTCTGGTAGTATAACCGGATGGACCGACCCATTGGAGTGGTGGTACGCCGGCGGCACCCCCTCCTTCTTCATCTCTATCCTTTCCGTCCCGGTGGACATGTCGGACAGTTTGTCTTGATCTTTTAACCAGAGTACCATGCGGAGGCCTTAGGATGTAAAGTGTCAATTAAGAAGAAATGAGCAAGCTTGAGGGTCTTACTTGAGTTTAGATCAGCCTGACCTCTGGAGATTTATCCCATTAAAGACGGCTGTTGCTGATGAAGGAGTCTACAGGTCGAGGAAGAGAGGCAGGTGCGTTCCCCGTCTCCAGGCTTGTGTAAGATCCTGCCTGAACTTGGGTAGCACTTGAATTATGTTCCCCATTCAAAGCTAATTTCCCTTTAAGACATAACAACAGAAAGTCACATGTTAGAAGAATATCCAAGTTGAATTAGTCTTCACAAATGGTGCAAAGATGATGTCTGTATGTGAAAAGGAGTCCTAACGAACATCCATGGCTTGACTCTCGTGAAGGCACTTGGCTAAAACTTTCTAACCAGCTCAGGGCAGCTGGAAAGCTGGAGGCGTCTCACTTTACACCACGTGCTGAATTGGTTTTTGAAATGTATTTAAAGGTCTCTGAGGCCAGGGTACTGTTACACACACTGAAATGTCTGAGGCTGATAAGGTTGGCTTGTCATTTGGCAAAAGAAATTACATTTATTACAATTAGTATGATTAAAAATATCTTATATGATTAAAAAAACTACTTTCATAAGTGTTAAGTTTCTTCCTGCACACTATCAGATAGACATACTTATTATATCCACTATCTAAAGCTAAAACTTAAGTTTAATTGCTAAACAAAACGATAAGGTTATTTTTTTACAACTATGAAATGAACAACATTCAAGTCTCTCAATAAATCAAGTTTAAAGCTCTAAAAATAAACCGGTCATAACAGAAAATAAAAGTTCAATGTAAAACAACAAGTAATGATGAGAGACGAGATACATATTCGTTATGACTGCACTCACTTTCCGCCTGAGGTAAAAACTTGTGAACCGGCTATGACGTGCATACTTTATAAAATGATTCTTCAAAAGAAACAAGCACCCAGAAACGGCTTTTCGGCACGACAGAAGGAAGAGAGGATACGAGCCAACAACAATTTGCTCATTACCTCCGCACTGAAACAAAATCCCTACTTAGTAGTCCGATCAAATCCAGCGCTGCATGGGACGACGTAAATTAACACGGCTCGGTGCTGCTTCGGTTCGCATCAACACCTCTCTCGTGTACCCCTCAGTAGAGAAACTTTATTCCATTAATATAGGACTAAAGTAAAACTACATCCCAACTGGAGCAAAGAAGGGAAAGTACTTTTTTCCAGAGCAAATCAGCACAAACTTGTGTAACAGCATCCGGCACTTTGGAAGCTAAAGGTTCTGTTCTGTTTTCTAAAGCAAACCCCCATTTTGGATCTATACAGTTTCTTGAGCTGATGTGGTTTCGTCAGAGATCAATAGGTCTATATGTACTTAAAATAATAATAATAATAATATTAAAATGAAAAGTAGAATGAAAATAAAGTTGTTGTGTGTAACTGTTCTCCATTAACGTTAATTATAAATCTTCCTAAAAAATGTTTTAAAATATAAAATACTTTTTTACAACCACAACTGTACATTAGCCCATGCATTAATCACGTGTCATTTATGACTTTGCAAGCACATCATTGGAATAACGTTAGATCGTAAATCACCAATGGAGCAAAATAAATGCTGTATGTACTCAAACAGATTTATTTGTTATATCAGATAAGAGAGCAGCATTAAAAGCCCAGGTAAATCAATCAGCGCTGGCGCCTACCTTGAGAAGAAGACAGTGAAATGTTCAATGCGGACCTGCTGTCATTCTCCTGTCATCCAGGCGGATGTCGTGCCCTTATCTATGGTTATGGAGCCAGATTAATCAGTAACCTCTCGGCTGAGGCTGTCAACTCCGATCAGTTACATTGTTCCATTTGACACGCGCTCGATCCTGCGCATCTATATGACAGGAGGAAGTCACTAGGCGGGCAACGCTGACGAAAATTACAAAACCTACTATGGTAAACAATGTGCTCATGAATATCCGAAGACGTCGCGCCGGCGTTGCTAAGTAACCATTCTGGAGCGTCCATTCACGCAGCCTGATTAATATTCATGAGTGCATAGCTTTCGCTTAGTGGGATTCGTTCCTGCGCGAACTGACTAGCGCGGAGTGTTCTTCTCAGCCAATAAGAGCGCTGAGCGTCATGGCATGTAATTAACATTAAAGAGACAAGCCTTTCTCGTAGTAGTCCAAGAATCGCGGGCTCCTTGTGTCTTAATGTGTGTTTATTTGCAAAAATCAGGAAGCACAGTTGGTTTTATTTTAATTTAACAATGTCCCTGGATAATGATTGAAACTAAGTGTGTTTGTCTTCCCTAAGTGCTTCCGAAAGCTGTAGTACATTTACTGCACCCAAGTGCACCCATGTGAATGTTAATGTAACGGTCACTGTATTTAATTGACAGAAATAAACATAGAGCAAAAATAAATAAGAAATATGGATTTAAAATAAACATTCGAGATTTTTTTACATTTAGTTACGGTGTATTGATAATAAAAAAGAGAATAACCCAAATTACAAAACGGGCATTCTACCAGAGACGTACATTATCTCACAAAAAAACATAAATACAGTTAATAAAAATTATTCCATCCCAAAAAAATGTCTAAAATGGACTGATGGTTGATTTCTGTGATGTGTTCTGTAAAGGAATATGTCATTCATTTACTTCTCAGATTTTAGTTTTTAATGAAGACACTTTACAAATGCACAAACTTTATCACTGTGCTTGTCCTCAGCCCAATTGAACCTACATTTTTAATAGGATTGTTGTGCTAAAACCTGTTATTTAGAAGAAAAAACGCTTTAGAAATAGCAGGTTTAAGTTGTTATTCACATCCATCGATTAAAAACATAAAATTCGAAATATATTCTACAAATAAATGCTACAAATATATTATACAAATAAATTTACAATTGTCCCTGTGTTTCTGTCAGTCCTCTCACATTTGCATTAAATGTAACATAAAATTTAACATGCGTGCAATACACATTTAAGGCTATGACTCGGAAGTGACATCATTTGATGGAGGAGAAGCTGACAGTGATCAAGGATGCGTTCTATCATTTAGCTGGTTTCTGTATTAATTTTTTTCTTTTTTTTTTCTTTTTTTTTTTTGAGGACGACAAGCTTAAGTCAGGCCCTGTAACATTTTTTATAAGTTAAAATGTAAGTTTCTGGTAGAATGTCCCTAAAATGTTCATGTTAACATAAATATATTACACTGTAAAAATTTGTCAGTATAAAACTGACAGTATTACTGTAATAAGATTTTACCCGGTATTACATTTTTAAAAATATGATATCTCAAAAAGGCGTATTTAAAATAGAAATACTGATACAATAATGTTTAAAAATTTAATAGTGTTTAAAAGTCATGTCTCATATATATATATATATATATATATATATATATATACACATACATACATACATGCATACATACATGTGCATAATATGTTGATACACTTACATGTAATCTGTAGTGCATTTAGTTATTGCCCAGCAGGCACACAATGTTATAAGACATCAATATTAGGTTAGATTTAGGTTGTGATGTCAGGTGACCAAAATTCAATGTCTAGCCAGCACCTAAGGACAACATTATTTTGATTTCCAATAATGACATCAAATGACGTTGATATTTGGTTGATTTTAGGTTGTTAGAAAGTGACCAAAATCCAATGTCGAGACAACATCTTAAACCAACATCCTATTGATGTCAAATACTGACATTTATTCATCAGTTATGGCAACCAAAATTCAACATCTGATAGATGTTATAGTGGTAACGTCGACACAACGTCAAGCTGTAACATCATTAGACGTTGACATTTGGTTGGTTTTAGCTTGAACGTTGGACATTGACTTCAGCCTGCCGTTGAGTGCTGATGTAAACCCGATTTTCATTTCCAAACAAAATGCAGCGCCTCCACGACGTTAGGGTACAATTTCAATCTGACATCATGTTGACGTCTTGTGCCTGCTGCCATTTCGGTCATCATACAGTAAATATCCGTCATCTTCTCATCAGTGACATGCATCTACACCAGGGGTAGCCATACTCAGTCCTGGAGGGCCGGTGTCCTGCAAAGTTTAGTTCCAATCCCAATTAGATGCACCTGGGCTAGCTAATCAATCTCATACCAGGCTTTCTAGAAACATCCGTGCAGGTGTGTTGAGGCAAGTTGGAGCTAAAATATGCAGGACATCGGCCCTCCAAGACTGTGTTTGGGCATCCCTGATCTAAACAGTCTCTGGGTCAATGCGTGTAAAGATTTTGAACATCTTCTTGGACACTTCTTGGACTGATTTTTCTAACATCCATAGACAAGAAAAAATAAAGTAGCGACTGCAGGTGGAGTAAAAGTACAGATACAGCACTTAAAATGAACTCAAGGGAAAGTAAAAGTACATATTTTTAAAACTACTTAGTAATTTACAATTTCTGAGAAAAACTACTCAATTACAGTAATTTGAGTATTTGTAATTAGTTACTTTACACTGCTGCTGTACATACAATTCAACATCCAGATTTTTTGACTAACCGCATCTCTGTTTAATGTTTATCGTCTCTTTTTTTCATATTTTGTGTTGTCACTTGTCACTTTATGTACACTGGAAGCTTCTGAAGCCAAAACAAATTCCTTTTGTGTGTGAAGCACACTTGGAAATAAAACTGACTCTGATTCTGATCAATCTGAGTTAAACTGTATATATAAATTTTATGTTTTATATGTTTATAACCAAAACAGCTTTACTGCGTGCCTGCATGTGTATGTAAAAACATGCAACAAGCTTATAATAAGAGTGTTAAAAACACATTTGATGCCATAACAACCACGTAACAAACTACTGAACCCTAAAGCAAACATTAAACTAGATCATTTCATGCTAGACCTCCATAAAGGAGGCAATATTAAAGCTGTCTTGCTGCTCCTCACATACAGTATAAGCCTGAGCACTGAGAAGTCACAAGACATGGCTTTTTATCCTGAGAGCGATCTGGATGACGGGAAGCTGCTCTCAGACAGCCAACCGGGAGAGCACAACATGCTTTACACCCCACGGCATCAACACCATCCACAAACTGACCCCTAACAAGATCCCCTGGCGCTCTGTGCTCAGCAGCGCTTCTCTGGGGCTTTGGGAGAGACGATAAAGCTTTGAGAGTTTTTCTGGATGGCAACAAGAATATCTACCAATAACAGGCTAATGATGTTTAGCGCACATTTTAAAGCTGTTTTTGAAAACCTGGGTGTAAGAAGACCTCGGATATGACACCGAAGCGAATGCAGAGATAATTGGGTGAAAGCTTTACTCAATTAAAAGAACAATATGTGGGCGAAAATATACTTGATACTTTAAATTTCCTTTGGTTTAGTCCTTTATTTATCAGGGGTTGCCACAGTGGAATGAACCGCTAACTACTCCAGCATATGTTTTACAGCAGATGCCCTTCCAGGTGCAACTCAGTACTGGGCAACACTCATACACTCTCGCACTCATACATTATGGCCTATTTTGTTTACCTAATTTACCTATAGCGCATGTGTTTGGACTGTGAGGGGAAAACGGAGCACCCGGAGGAAACCCACGCAAAACATGGGGAGAACATGCAAACTCCACACAGAAATGCCAACTGACCTAGTTGGGACTCGAACCAGCTACCTTCTTGCTGTAAGGCAACAGTGCTAACCACTCAGCCACCATACTTGATACAGTTAAAGGCAATATTATTACCCGTTTTCACATATAGTTATGCTTAACAGAGCAAGGAAATTTTCAGGGTATTTCCTATAACACTTTTTCTTCTGGATAAAGTCTTATTTCTTTTAGGCTGTAATGAAAGTTTTCATATTTTTAGTAATACATTAATGCAAATATTATTAGCCCCCTTAAGAAATATTTTTTATTGGCTAAAACAAATCCCGTTACTTGCCTGATAACCATACCTGTCACATTGGGATGTGAAAATAACCCCCAAAACAATCCCCAAATTACTAAATCTATTTATCTGGAGCTGTTTCATTGTAAATAAAAAGTCAGTAAAATGTTTATTAAAATTATTATTATTTATGAAAGAAAAAATAAATAGTATAAACTAGAAGCAAATAAATTAGCAAATTTATTTCAGTTCAAGTTATCAAATCTCAATCCATTACTTTCCTAACAGTTTATGCATTTAGGACAAAATTAGTAGTGTTTGAGAAAACATCTTTAGATGTTATTATTATTAATTATGTGTATATGTCTGTTCAAACACGCACCCAAAACCCTGACTTTCGCTACATTTTAAATAGCGTGTACAGAATCTGTTTGGAAAAAAGCGTCTATTTATGACTATGGAGCGTGTCAGCTGACATTCACGCACTGCTATATGACTGTTTTTAGGGTTGCATAGGAGGGGCAAGGGCACCTGTAGTGTAAAGGAAAGGGAATCATGCCGTTTTTATATTTATTTCAAAGTGTTTCGTACCTTTCCCAGAGATGGGTTGCAGCTGGAAGGGCATCCGCTGTGTAAAAACTTGTTGGATAAGTTGGCAGTTCATTCCGCTGTGGCGACCCCGGAATAATAAAGGGACTAAGCCAACAAGAAAATGAATGAATGAATGAATGAATGAATGTTTCATGCCTAAATAAAACAAAAGCACAGAACAGATTCACATTTTAGAGCAAGAGCCGGCCCCTGGTGGTTCGGCGGTATGGGTTGCGTATAGGAAGGATCAGCTCTTTAATGTTTATTGCCACCCTTTTTCCAACAACTTTTAACCTTGCAAACATCAAAAAAGTGACTTTTATTAACATTTGTAATAGTTTAAAGTGATATATTGTCTGGGTTGGTGTATAATATGCTACAAAACAATTTTTTTGTTATTTACAGACTTATTTCTCTTTATATAATTTATCATATATTATATTTTTTCCAAACT